ATGTCCCCAAAACCACCCTTTCTGAACTCTATCCACAAGGCTCCCCTGACATGGGACGTTGCTTCTCCACAGGGCAGCTGCTGGTCGGCTTCAGCAGTATTTCATCATCGTTACTCCATGAGCAATGTTTCCCCTGCCTCTTCCTAGTACTTGTGTACAAACACCCATGTGCAGGAACATACGATCACCCATATACACAGGGGCACCATGCAAGTAATAACTCCCACTGATGCACAGCTCTGGTCCAGGCCTGATACTCTGGCAGGTGAGGCCTTTGAGTTTCTAAATCAGAGATGACTTGCCTGGAATGAGTGAAGTATGTTTTAAAACACATTGGGCATCACCCGTGATGGTTACACCTAGAGGGGACAGGACCAGTTCTGTAGATTCAAGGCAGGCAATAATTAAATAAAGGTTGCATTGCCAGATACTCAGCATCTTTCTTGAATTCCTGAGCTTCAAGCTAGTGGAGCCCCTCAAACTGGGATGCCCTGTAGGCTCTTCAGAAGTCAACCACCCACTGACCTCACTGCCTGTTTGCCTCACTCCCCAAATGCTTCCCTACCCTTTGTTCTCAACCTCAGCAGCAGGTATTTTCACAACCTCCCATATCATTGAGTCCTTTAGATATGTCCTATCTACCCCTCCAAGGAGAGGGATGTGTGTGTGTGTGAGAGGGAGAGAGAGAGAATGGGGGGGGGGATGGACAGCATTCTAAACAAAGAAACTACCTGGTAAAGGGGACCAATTGCTAAAGGATGTGTGCACTTACTGTAGAGAGACAGAGAGACAGAGAGAGAGAGAGAGGGAGAAAGCATCCCCTATGGGGTGTGTACATGTCCCAATCCATTCTCCATTTCTCCATCCTGTTAGGATTCTGGACATGTAAACTGTGATGCTCTATGAAGCTTAGCCACATGGGAAGGTTCTGGATTTCTGTACATAGACCTCCCTGAATACAGTGAGCACATGAATGATTGTGATTTGTGAGCAGATGAAGCTGGGGTGGATCAAAACCCTGTTGGGTGCTGTCTCATTTGTAGAGAAAAGAAACAAATATACTTTTTAAAAGGGTGTTATTCTAGGGAACCAGCAGTTAGCGTAATGGCTATGTCGCTGGGCTCCCCCCGACCCTGGT